ACGACCTTGAGAAAGTGTTCCTATGATAAGCTTCTTTCCAAGGAGTACATCTTCCAGAGAGGAAACTAAAAAATGAATTCTATTTCATTCACTGTGGGTGTTGATGGCAGCTTATGACATCACAGTGAGCAGCCGAGCCAGAAACCTTCTCCAGGGAACAAAGTACAAACTGCTATTATAAGCATGGCAATGTTTTCTCAGTGTACAGATAGAGGAAATTTCTCCCTGAAAATGTCACAATCATCTAGTAACCACGACTGAGGACACTCTACAGTAAGTATGGACTATACCACTACTTTATCCCACCAAAAAACAGATGATAGAAACTTTGACCCACAACCACTAACTCTGCCTTTTCACAGCTATCAAGCAATCATGAGGGAATTATAAGCATTATAGATTGCTAGTGATACAGTGCTCAATAACAATGCAGGAAGCTGTTTTCTACAGTCTATACCCAAAGACTAGGACGCCAGGTCAGAAAGAGTTCTCAGCTTCAGCCATACCTATGTCCAGACCAGACTGCTCTTATACCAGCCTCAAAGAAAGAACAGTCACTCTCAAGCCTAAAAGGGAAATCATAGTTTCTCTCTGAACTGGATCTAGTCCTGCTTCATTGAAATCAAGGCTCAAATGCAGAAATTGATTCTTCCATCATTGTCACTTAAGGGAAGAAAAATTACCCCAGGAATGCAGAGGTAGCATTCACTCCAACTGTGCCTTCAGAGACCTGGCTTTCCCAAGGCCCCACACCACTCCCAAGTTCTGTATCTGGTTAATGCCTCCAACCCAAGCATCAGAACTAGAAGAAGCCATCCTTTTCCCTCCTTCCAGCACCCCTCTCATTTCTAATCCTAAAATTATGAACATTCTTGTACTATTGTTTTGTTTATAAGATAATCACACACACACACACACACACACACACACACTACACAATCCAATGACTTATTTTTCCTAAGACCCAGACAAGCAATCCATCCACTGTCACCTAATTACAAGACAGAGCAGTGACCCAGTAAAATGAAAAATTATGATTTTGGTCAACTTCATTAATGTATAGAAGACAAAATTGAAGCTATACATTCTTGACCATTTTTCATCAACACAGCTGCATGTCTGTTAAAAAAAAAAAAACTCACCTTCAGTTGGACATTCCTTCACTGGGGAATATGGATTGGCCAACAAAATGTCTTAATGCTATCAGCAAACTGCTTAATTAGGGTACATGGAATGTTAACCTTTGAAATTGTACACAAAACCAAACCATGAGTAACAATATGATTTGTACCATAATCAACTTTACACTGGGCACACAATCCCCCAAGGTCACTTAATCTCTTTCTTTTTTATTTTTGCCTTCCACAGGTCCAAGGGAAAATACAAGCACTTAAATTCCCTCTATTTCATATCATTTCAATGTAGCCTATTTAATTGTAAATTACAGGTTCTATGAAGAGAGTTTTATTGTCTTTCCCATTTCTGGTTGTTTATACTTTGCTATCAATATTTTCTCACCAATATGCATGCTGACACTAATGCTAATGGTTATGTTATGCTTCTGTTCCACTACAGTGCACTTTTTTTAAAAAACATAAAAAGCCCATTTTGCAGATGTTCGCATAGCTCACAGCATAGACCTCTTTATATTCTGCATGGAAAATAAGCTGACATCATCCCTCCCTCTGCCAGTTGCAGTTCAAAAATTCTAGAACAATCAGAATTAACTTAAACTTGACTCTTTCACTATACATTCATGATCCAGATGAAGGATGAGCTTCAGTAGCCCTGTCTGCAAATAAACAGCATGTTTACAGCAACACCAAACCTAAGCAGTACAAGCACAAGAGCAGATGTCTCCAGACAGAATGAGCCCCAAGACTACCATTACTGAACTGCCCAGTACTGTGATGTCAGTATTGATCACAAAAAAGAGGTAGTAAAGAGTCAAAGCTACAGAGGCAACACATCTGTCCCAGTAGTATAATTCAGCCTGAGACCTGCATGGAAACAGAGCAGCTTGCTTCTTTCTAAAGGGAGAGGAATCCTCAGTGGAGGCACAACCATCTCCTTGGAGTTCAGAGCTAAGCCTAGAGTACACCACTTATTGATCTCATTCCTCAACAAGGCACTTGTATTTTATCACCAGTAAATAGTCCTGGTGAGTTTTTTGGGGACTTAAAGCATCAAATAGATGAACATATTTCCTCTTTTTTTAATTTAAAAATAACTTGTAGGTTAAAAACATATACACACATGTTGTAGAAAACCATGGAAGCAGAATGTTCCCACAGCCAGGTATAAGACTAGCAAGTATACCCACCACTGCTGAGCTTTGTCTCAGGTATTGATTGAATGTGAAACCTGAAGCAAGCTTCCTCTTATCTGCTTCAGTGTTACCAATGGAAAGACCAGGCTGATAAAGATGACATCATACCTCAGGAGGGTCTGCCGAGCTCATAATGAACGGAAATGTGTTGCAAACAAGAAGACTATGCAGAAATGCTTGGAAACAACATGACAAATTAATAATAAACAGAAGAGAATTGACAAAGCTGAAGAGGCTATAGAGACCCAGCCATTCTGATGATGCCTCTGGAAAATGACACTTCGGTGCCAATTCTAAATGACTGAGCCAGAGTCCAAAATCCCACAAGCCCTGGGCCTATTGCCGGTTTTCATCTGTTTTATGTTGGCACTTGATACATTTTTGCATTCAGGTTCATATCCTTGTCTTTTCTTTTTTTTTCTTCTTTTAAATAGAGCTTTGAATGTTATAGTGACTAATTTTAAAGCTTACACATATATCCAAAACAAAGCAAGCTTTAAAAGTCTAGCATCAAATGACATATTACCATTTTGTTGGCTTGAAATAATTAAGGCAGTATCACAATAACCATTATTCATTACTCTCATCATTTCTTTATCTGGAATTATGCAAATTACTGAACCAAACTAGCCAGCTGAAATCCATCTCCTACCCGCTGCTCTACACACAGTACCCAAACTTTTTTTGCTTTGAGAATAGCTGCATTTAAAATTGTACCATGTCAATGAGCCAGATAAAACCAAATCATGTCATAGAGGGATCACAAAGAGCTCCTATATATTATGGTTTCTCATCTTTAGATCCATAAGTTAGAGCAGATCCAAATTTTGTGGAGACCTTACAAGTAAGAAGCCCTGAAGCTTAAAGTAAGTCTGCCTCAAGCCCTTCATAACAGACCAGCATGGATTTTTCTGTTCCATGGATTCCATTCCATGAATTTGTCTGTCTCTCATTCTTCCTCATTTAGCCTTTAGCCTGTTTCTCATGATCTCCTATGTTTTTCCCTTGGTCCTTTACCTCCTACTACTTTTTTCTTCAGTCCTGTCAGTGGATAGATTCTGCAAGTATGTCAGAACTCTTTGTAAGATAAAGCCTAATCGAGACCAGGCTTCTTTCCAGAAACTTCCAAGAAACAAACTTAAAGGAAGGGAACATCAACGACAATAAAATTATTTCTTTGATTTGAACTTTTAAATTATCCTTCATTTTCTAATCCAAATCTAACAGGAAAGAAAATCAGAGATCAGCCAATGCCAGCAATAACTAAGAACACCTGTCAGTTCCATTACAGTCTATTCATGTTTCCTAAAAGAAATTTGACCAAAGACCTGGAAAACTCTAATTTTAATTGGAGCAAAGAGTAAATTAACAACTTTAGCTGCCAGAACAAACAAAAGCCTAGAGAAGTTCTGTTTGCTCTCCTTTCAGTCAGCAACAACACCTACCTCCAGCACTTGCTATCCCTCTGCATACGGAGCAGCCACCCAGAGAGAAGCTGAGAAGAAGGTGAAAGGACATGCAGCTATTGTCAGGAATGAGATGCCACAACCTTTGCAGTTCCAGAAGTGAACCTAGGCCAGGACCATTAGGGCACTAAGTCACTTAAATACTCCTTAAAGAACTCAATATAGTCATGACAGAATAGGTCAGGAGGTGGGCAGCTCTGGGGGTGTGAAAAGGAGACAACTCTGTGGCCCAGCTATGGGCCTCTGTGTCAGCATCTATAGAACAGTTCAGCATAAATGCTATGATGTCAATATAATGTTAGTTCACCTTGAAATAGAACCAACAGATGCAAAAAAATAACGGGAAATCTTTGGGTGCTTAATATTCTCAATAAATCATCTTATAATTGGATATCTTCTGGATTATGTCTCCCTCATAACCCCTTCCCTTTCTTTCCAGCCTGCCCATGTTCAAGGATCTCTCCTTCTATCCAGGGCAACAACTCAGCCACTGATTCTCCTCTTAGCTACCATATCCCAATTGTCAAGCCCTGTCAGTACCCCTCTGAAATATCCCCTGTATCTATACCACTCATTTCTACTTATGCTATTATTGGCTTCTTTCAAACTCATAGAATGAGAATGTAAGAGTGTTTCAAAGAAGTCAAATGCATACCCATTAAAAGAACTGTTTTAATCATAAATGATGTGGAGCCTAGCAAAGGGAATTACTTGTATCTTGAGGCTAATTTGTTGTTTGTTCATTTAATTCTATTCCACAGTGTACCTGGATTAACTTTCTGGTTTAGATAGGCAAAATTTTTCCCAAAGCAGTATCTCCTGAAATATTGAAGATACATTTCTCAAAATTGGCAAACTTTTCAGTCTCTGAACTCCTTCTTGGCTCTGAAACACCACCTCCCTTTTTCAGGTATTTTTAATAGCCAATACTACTACAGACTCACCAGGCTCCAACTTGCAAAATGGCAGGTTTACCACATTTCTGCTTCGATTAAACAGCCCAACCTCCAAAACTTATAATAAGATACTTTCCCAGGAATAATTCTTATCATTAAATTGTCCTTCCCTCAGACACTATCATCCCACTGTTACATCATTGCAGGGTAGAAATAACAGCTGGATTCATTTTACAAAATTAGTCACCTGCAAATAAGCTCTATTGTAGGTTGTATTATTGCTCCTGGTCATTCATTACTCCATTCGCAGGGAGAGGACCATCCATCTCCACCCACTGCCGTGTGACTTGCTGTTCATCCTTGTAAGTGTAGTATATTTCCCTGAGTTGCTTCTGCTAATGATACATCAACACAAGTGGCAATGCTAGTTGGGATCAGAAGCTTAAGCAGATTATATATTTCCACCAGTTCTCCTGAGGTTTTACCCTTCCCAAAAAAGAAAGTATATACCAATATGGGGCTGCTCCCAGCCTTGGGATCCTAGAATGATTAGTACATATGAGTACATTCTAAAAAATCTCAGAAGAGCAGACACTAACAAGCAGCCAATACACAACTGATAATTGGGGGTCATTTGTAACTGCAGCACAACTGATGAATACAAAAAATAATGGTATGCACATGCATGAAATCAAAATACTTTTTATACAAAAGTTTATATGAATCAATATGAAGGAAACAATAAATTCTCAAAAGATACCTGAGTAGGTAGATAACTTACAGAAGAGAAAATACATTAACTGTATTCAGCCTTTCTGATAATTTTTTAAATTCAAAAATTTTAACTATAATTTTGATAAATTTAAAACATAAATATTGAATAGCTGAAATGATTCTACAAGAAGCACTATACTTTTGGAAAAATGATTTGGCAATATGTATAAGAAGCCCTAAATTCATATTTTTGCCACACTACTTTCCAATATGGCATATTCAATTTATAATATATGAGAAATACATAAGGTTCTAGTTTACTTTTCTCTTCACCAGCAGTTGATACTATCTAGCTTTCTTTATTTTTGCGTGGTGGTATTAAATTGTTTGCAGTTCCATATTATTTTGTGTTTTTCTGGTTAATAATGACATTGGAATCTTTCATATACTTATTATCCATACCTTTTATCAATTTTTCTATTGCATTTCTTCAGCTTTTCCAATAAGGAAATAAATATAAACTAGTAAGCTTATAAATATTGTTCTTCAGTCTGTCACCCAACTGTTAACTTTGTGGTGTTCTTCAATTGACAAAAATCTTTGATTTTGATGTAGGCCAATCCATTAATACTACTCATAGGAGTTTTTGTTGTTGTTTGATCTCATGTACCAAGTTTTTCCGTGTCCCGATATCACAAAGGTATTCACCTCTATTTTCTTCTGCTTCTTTTTTTCATCCATCTGGGGGACATTTGTCTTTAATAATCAGTCATTTTCCCCTTGTATTGCTTTTGATCTATTTGTTCCAATACCAGTGCCATATTATTGTTATAATTATGGCCTTATTTTAATATTTAGTAACATGTCTGTTATTTTTCAAAATTAACAGCATTGAATACATTGAAATAAAAGTCTTTAACATGATGACTTCTTATTCCAGTGATTGATATGACATGCCTTTCCATTTATTATTTAATGTTGCTTAGTAGACATTTTTAAATAATCCTTTATTAGGGTCTTGGGCACACTTTATTCAATGGGCCAGCACTTTGCAGTTCTTGTTCTATTGCAAATGATATCTATTACATTTTTTAGTTGATCGTTATTGGTATACAGAAATACTACTGGATTTTGCATCCAACAATCTCACTAACATATCTTGATTCTCTAAAAAATAATTATTTTGTCTACAAATAAAGAAAATATTGAGAATTAAGAAAAAGTCTTCACTTTTTACTTATTATAGTATGCAAGACCTGTTCTATTATGTTGGACAGGAACAGTCAAAGTGGTCATCATTGTATTTTTCCTAGCACTAGGTAGAATATATACAAAGATTATCAGTTAAATATAAAAACTAACTAAAAAAGCTTTTGTTGTCTATAAGTTTCCGTTTAATACCAATTTTCACAAAGTATGGATATATACTAGAGAAATTCTGCACAAGAGAATATGAGAAGATTTTTCACAATTTGGAGTGTTAGTGAAGTGTTCAAGATCATCTAGGCATTCATCACTCTGGTAATGGATATGTAATTGTCACGCACTGATATTTAAATGATAAGAAAATCTCCTGTATCTATCCATATTACCATTTCCATTGTTTCCCATTCCATTTCAAACATCCATATGTTCATTTGCTTTCATATTGCTTCTGGTAAAAGAAATTCATTTAAAATAGTGCCAGTAAGTTAATGTTAATCTGCTGGTGATAAAGGTTTCAGATTTTGTCAGTCTGAGTCTGTCCTTTGTTTTTAAAAGATGTGTTTGCTGGGTATAGAGTTCTAAGGGGGCTTTTTCCTCCAGTACTTTAAAGATGTTACACTCACTGTTTCCAAAACAAATCTGCTGATATCCTCATCTTTGTCCCTTTGTACATACTGTGACATTTTCTCTGCTTTTAATATTTCCTCTTTAATTTGTGTTGAACTGGTGTTGAACAATTTGATTGTGAGGTGCCTTGCTGTTATTTTCTTTATGTTTCTGTCATTGGGATTATTTGAAATGCTTAGATCTGTGGCTGCATAGCGCACATTGAATTTGGAGATTTTTCAGCCATTACTTCTTCAGATATTTCACCCATATGTCACAGATTTTAATTAAACATTATTAGGTCACATTAAAGTGTCTCCCATATACCCAATGCTGCTTTCATTTTGTAAATGTCCTTTCCTCTGTTTTCTTTTGGGGAGTTTCTATAACAAAGCTTTCAAATTTACTGATCTTTTTTGTCTGCAATATCTTACCTGCTAGTAATCTCACATAGTGAATTTTTTATCTTACACATTTTAGTTTTAAACTTTAAATGTTCAATTTAGCCTTTTCTATGTAATGCATGTCTCTACCTAACCTTTTGAGTATATGATATAATGTAATAACTGCCTTAAAAATCCTCATCTGTAAATTTTAGCTCCTTGTCAACTTGTGGTCAGTGTCAATTGAATAACTGTGATCTCATTATGTTTGTTCATATGCCTGATAATCTTCATTTGGACGCCAGATATCCCATTTCTTTTTTCTGTTTGGGTACTAGGTCTTTTTGTATTCCTATAAATATTTTTGAGGTTTATTCTGAAGTGCAGTGGAATTAAACAATTTGATCATTTCAGGCCTTGCTTTTAAGAGTCTTAGAAAGAAATGGGGCAGTCATAACCCTAGGGCTAATTATTCTCCACAAATCAGGCAAGACCCTTCAGGATACTATGTGAGTAAATTATGATGTTTCCTGTACAGGACGATAAGAACAGATACTGCTCCTGGTCCTGTGCAAGTGCAAGGATCTTGCTCCTCTAATTTTTTCTGATGGTTCTTTCTCTGGTCTCACACGTATGTCCTGATCACTACTCCACAGAGCACTTGGAGGCACTCTTTGAACATCTCTAGGGTTCTGTTTCTGTGTAATTCTTACCTCTGTAGCACTCTGCCCTGCAGATTCAGGCCACCCTGCTCTTCCCAGTTTCTCAAGCCCATCTCTTCAATTGAAGGAGTCTCCCAGGATCCACTTGGATTTTCTATGCCTGGCACCAAGGTCTAAATGTCTGGGAAAATTATAGGAGTTAGCTCATTTGTTTCTTATCTCTCAGGGTTCACTCTTTTTCATTATCCAATGTTCACTGTTATAAAAACCAGTAGCAAGGCCAAGAGTGGTGATGCACACCTGTAATGCCAGCATTCAAAAGGCTGAAGCAAAAGGATCATAAGCTCAAATACAGTCTCAGTTACATAGTAAAACCCTGTCTTAAAAATTCAAAAAGGAAAAGAAAAACATTGGCTAAACTACTTTGCCTTATTTTGTTCTGTTTGCTTCAAGGTATTACTTACATTTTTTCTGCTTTGGTCCAGAAATACTTTATGTAAATTTTGAAAGAATAAAAATAGCATCTATGGCCACCACCATCAGTCCAGCACCAGGAAGGTCTGCTTGGGCACAGACCTTGGGCCCAGTAGCCCCGTCCTCCCCTGCCAGACCACCGCCACTGCTCCAGCACCAGGAAGGTAGCCACATGGGCACCCATGAACCCTGCCACCCCTGCATTCTCAGACCTCCTGATTGTGCCAGCCTTTGGACCCACTCTGCAGAGGCAGAGGTGGTCATAAAAGGTATTTTTCTGAGTTCCCAACTTTGATCATCTTTAAAGAAAGGGCATGGGAAACCTGTAGTAGAACTGTGTGGAGTTCAACCATTCAGGAGGTCAGGGAACTCAATCTGGGCCTTGCAGCCAAAGGTCAATCTGTATCGTGGGGTTCTACCATCAGCTAGTTGAGATCAGGGGTCTTGCATCCTAGCTCTGTCTGAGCCCCCATCCTAAATGGTAAATATACTATATTGAAAACTTTGTTCACTGCAGACATGTTTTGGACTGCTTCTTGATTTCAATTTAATTCACATGATTTAAGGGTGATAGACTAGTGACTACCACAGGTTGTCAGTTTCCAAGTTGTGCTTGATCATATTGTCTTGCTGATTGTATCAGTTGGGATAAAGGATTGTGGTTGATTTAATGAGCTGTTTTCTCTGATGTTATCAAGATGAGAATGTCTATGGGTGATTAGAGACCCAGAAGCTAGGGCACAACTATATCAGGAAGATTTGGGTTATAACCCAGAGATTAAACCAAGGACAGCCCAACCACAAAAATAAAAATGAGAAAACACTTAAGCAAGATACAAAGACAGACTGCCAGTTCACCAATGGCAAAAAGTAGGGCAAACGAGGATGAAAAGGCTGATAGTGAACCACCAGGACACCCTGAACTCAAAGCACAGGAAGTAACAAAACAGATCGATGAGGCTCTAGAAAAATTCAAGACAGAAATAATTTCCCAGATAACCATAGAAATGGTGAGCAAAATGAAAGTCATGATTCGAGACTCTACAACAGAAACTGACAAAAAAATAGATGAGCCCAGGACCATGATAGAAGCCATGAAGGCCCAGCATAAGAAAGAAATGGAAACAATAAACGCCCAACATAGGAAAGAAATGGAATCCATAAAACAGATTCAAACAGATATCCAGGAGAATAAGCACTCCATTGAAAGTGTACACAACAGAATAAAAGAATGCAAAGATAGAATCTCAGATATAGAAGATAAGATTGCAGTCACTGACCATGAAAAGAGAGGTCTCTTAAAAACAGTAGGGGATC